GGTCTTCTAGGGCTCTGAGGCCAGTTTAAGCCCTAAATACAACTTCCACTCCCTCAAACCTCCAGGTAGTTACCAATTAAAGTTAGTCCTCTGCATCTGGGCCTCCACTCAAGATCCCATAATGGTACTCAACGAGACCTCAAAAGCAGTTATGCACAATTACTGGACAGTCACTGGTACCCAAAGGCCTAAATAGATGACTTGTTTTAACAGCTAACACTGAGGTTTATCTGGAACTCCTAGAACATCTAGGAATAGTTTCCTGATACCTCTGAGGTAACACAGAAAGAGCACAAGGTCAGACAGCAATTAAGAAACAGGTCCTAGTCCCAGTTTGGCCACTAACTCACTTTGTGATGAGGGCAATTATCCAACCTTCTTTGGGCTTTAACCACAGTGAACAAGATACCTACTCTACTTACCTGAGCTGTTATAAGAATCTAATCTTCTAAGAGATGTGAAAACACTTAGAAAAATAATTACTCCTTCCTTCATTCTATTTAAACATGTTGAACATCTGCTCTATGCTAAGCATTATGCTAGGCATGAAGTTTACATCTGGTAGAGAAAGCAGAAACTAAACCATTACAGTTGTGATAAGGACTATGAAAGAGAACTATTAGAAGCAGGGAAAGATAAATCAATAAACTCAACCCGCTGGGAGGGCTCAAGGAAGGTTTCCCTGAGGAATCTACATCTGAACAGAGCCATAAAGAATGAGTAGGAATTAACCAGGCAAAGAAGTGTAGGAAAAGGTTCTAGTAGTCAGAGGAGCAAAGGTCTTGAAAAAACATTCAACGAATGTAAAGTGCTTTTAGGAAACACTAAAATAACTTTTCAAAAACATTTAATCTATGACATTGAAATGTAACCCCACAATCTGCCATTTCAAAAACCCACTCTTACAGGTTTATCTACAGCTTGGATTTTTCTTTTTAGTCATCAAACTCTTCCTAAGAAAACAGTGAGATCCCAGCCCTGGTTGCATTATTTTCTACTTATGTACCAATGCTTAGATAACAAAACAGATAAATGTCCATGTAGGAACAACGATTTGGGACACAGAATAAAATTCTGAAAAATCTTGTTTTTAGGACATATTGGTAGGTGCATAAAAATTCAGAATTTTTATAGCTCCCTGGAACATTTTCCACTTAAGTATTTGGGAAAAAAAGAAGAAAGAAAGAAAAAAAAAAAGGCCTCTATCCCTACCCTATCCTTAAAGAAAAAGTCAGTGCTTTGAATTAATTATCATACATTCAGAAGTATAAGGCTCCTTTTATATTGGCAAATACATCAAATTTAAATGGCATAATTGCTTAAGTTTTCTGAAGTTGCTTTACTAATTATCTTTTCAGTTCTGATATCCTTTGGAACAATAGTTTTTGTAGGAGAATCTCGGTATTGTACATGTACCTCCCAGGATGTGTTTTAAATACATTATAAATGTTTACTACAGGCTTTTCCTTCTCATAGCAAATTGAAGTTCTAGATCATTAATATGAAGATTTTCACCCTGCCCCAGACACATGCAATTTAAAATCATTTTATGTCAACATATATTACTTATTTTCTTGAATTATGAACCAAATAAATTGCCTCAATTTGGAAATTAGCTTCATACAGGTGCATATTTAAAGTGATAGGCAAACTTTTCTATTCCTACTCTTCTGAAAATGTGCATAACTATGATTTGCCATGTTTACTGTTTGGCTATATATAGGTTACAAGCATAATATTACAAAGTATTATTTTAAACTTTACCCCCACTTTTCTTATATAAATAGCTGCTTCAGAAGAAGTTTATTTCGTGCAGCTAAGCAGTTTAAAAATCATGTTCTTCAGGCTTTTACTGGCTTATTTTAAAAGACCTTCTAAACAACCAAAGAGTGGCCTGGTACTCCAATATACCACAAAACACCTTTCTTATATTTTGTAATTAAACAACCACCTCCAATTGCTGAGATTCCACAGTTGGTACAAGTAACGATGTATTATCACTACCACTGAAGTCATGTGTTATTATTCAAAGAGGTGAAATATCCAAATTCATTTTTAAATAGCTGCAAGATGTAATGGCTCCAACATATAGGGTTTGAGGGAGCATAAAGAGGTTTTACTACAAACATTAAACTTTTTAATGTTTTCATGTATGTCCTTTTGACTTAGAAAGAACAAAGTCTCAGTGAGGAAAAAAAAAAACTCTAGGTTATAGACACATTGTACACAGTTCTTTCTAGTAACAATTTTGATTGGAACTCAAACTTATTTTTGTCCAAATACTCTGAAGAAGATATCTTGCAACACTTTGTTTTATAATTACTTTGGACATATTTAATAGAGCAGATTCTCTCATTAGCACATCAAAAACACAATGAGAAAGATCAGAGATTTTAAATGAAATAAAACTTCATTGATAACTTTCACCTTTAAGATTCCTTTCACACTGAATGAATTTAAAAATTCTAAACCAGTAAACTACTGATTTATCATGATACCTATATGGAAACTTTTTTTCACATTATTTTGGATCTATGATATATATGTATTTAAACAGTTTATTAGGGAAGACAAGTGAGAAAACAAAACCCTCCCAGGTATGTAGACAGTATGTCAAAGTCAGGAATAAAATGCACTGGTATCTTATGATACCAAAATGAAGTCACTTGACTGAAAAAAAAAAAAAAGCTTGATCAAAATATATACTTTATGTACACATATTGTGGCTCATTCAAAAGCATTTTTAAATCCATGGTGATGTTTTAAAAATAAACCATTTAAATGGTTAAGTTGACTATTAAGAGAAGTTTTCATAACAAAGCTTACAGGGGTTTTTTAAATTAAAAGAATAAATATATTGGAATACTCATCTGTCCCTATTTAAAGTTATTAAAGGGGAGCTTAAGTTGAATTTAGATAATATGAAATACATTAAAATAAGTTCCTCAGGGGAAAGAAAAATCTTACCATTCCATCAAGATATTAGGCAAGTGCAGATAACTTCAAAACATTAAGTTATATTCCTTTTGTATTGCATTCCTTCATAAGCCAGACCATAAGTGGAAATAGGTGGCTATTTAAGAATGCCATATCTAAGTCACTTATACTTTGGTGATGACTTAGCCTGTTTGGATTGATTAAATTCCACAATATATTCTACATTGTATACTTATGGGAAGAGATAATCTGTCACTATTACACTAAAACATGATATTCTGTATCTTAAGAGTTATCTGTACATCCATATTTCAGTATCAAATTTATAAAAGAATGTCAATCATTTTCCCTTTTTAAGAAATCATGTTTTAGTTTAGCTGTATACATACTGTCCAGAAAATTAAATATTTGTAAATAGCAAGTGTCCATTCACGAAGGCCATTGAGTAGGACTGAAAGGGAAAAAAATCCAAAAATAAGCGCATTCAAAAAATGTAATATGCTCTAATGAAGTTAACATGGTCAGTATATATGAAACTCTGTGTGTCCAGCACTGTTCTGGGCACTGTGAGGAGTATACGTGCATGCATACAAGCACACACACACGTGCAGAACAAAGAATATGAATTCACATGAAACAACGGTAGAGCAAAAGACTATAAATTCTGAAATTTTCAAAATGGAGAACAGATTAATGGTTGCCCAGCATTAGGAACAAGAGGGAGATAGGTGTGGCTATAAAAAGGCATCACAAGGGATCCTTGTGGTGATGAAAGTAGTATCTTGACAATAGTGGTGATGGATACACACGGTATAAAATTGTATAGAACTAAAAGCACACATACACTTAAAGTACAAGGAAAACTGAAAAACTGTTGGATTTTTATCAATATTCTGGTTGCGATATACTACAGTTTTGAGGTACACTAGCTCTCTATATTATTTCTTACCACAGCATGTAAATCTACAAATATCTCAAAATTAAGTTTTTTTAAATGATTATAAAATACACTTTCCCTATTCTAAATACATCCCCCTCCCAAAATAAAAACATGCAATAATAAACACCAGAATCCCTCCCAGTGACAGAAGAAATTGCCAGCTAGGTGCAGTAGTAATTCCCTTCAAAGAAACACAGAGTAAACAGTATGTCTAAACATTCTTGCCCCGAAATATGTTCTGAATTTTCTTCAAATCCGTGTTAATTTAATGAGTTTTAAAGATCACATCCCATAAATTGAAGATTTCTCATGACACAGTAGCAATAAAATTCTACCTTCAGATGGTGGTGGAATCATCCTTAATCAGAGACAGAGACGAGGGGAGGGTACCACCATTTTCTTCTCTGTTTATGTTAAAAGATAAGCAAATCACACACACAGGCACACACTCTTCCTCTTCCTGTAGAGTGTACATGAGTTCGGATCGAGACGTGGAATAACAGCACCACAAGGATTTCTCAAAGCTAGGTCTCTGCCTACTTGGAATCTCTTGGAAAATATTCAAGCATATCTTTGCTCTTTCGCTAATGCAAGACAAGAAATAACGGGTCAACTGCTCTGGAATTCCTTTGGTGTGAGAAAGTCAAGTCGAAGGTGATCAAAGGCAGGGCATCCGGATAAAATGGGTTTGATTAGGGTAGATTCAGACAACCTGACATTTGCTTGGTTGCGATAAAGATGGAAATAGGGACGTCGGGTCCCTCTCACACCAATCTGGAAACTTGACCCGCTAAAGAGATCGAACGCTTCTACAGCCTCCGCGGTGGATTGGACGAATTTAGGGACGCTGTCCTCCTGTCCCCATCCTGCCGCTCCCCAACAGCTCAGCCGGCTGGGGAGCGGGGCGACGGGGACCCGGGGCGAGGAGAAGCCCGGGGACACTGGGCGACGAGGGGCCGGGGATACGGGGTGAGGGGCGAAGCAGGGCCAAGGACCCAGGGAGACTAGGAATGGAGGCGCGGGGCGAAGCCGCGGCACCAAGGGACGCGGGGCCGGGGTGCGGGGCGACGGGCGAGGCGAGGTCAGGGGCGTGGAGCGACGCGAGTGCGAGGTGAGGGCTCACCCGCGTTTTGCAGTGTCTCGATGTTCTGCGGTCTGGTCGCCAGCTCCGCCACCATCTGCACGAATTGGGTCCGGGCTTTCTGGTACTGCTCGAACACTGCGGGGAGAGACACGCTGGAGCGCACCGCCCGCGGCCCCTGGGCCCCGCCGCCCCCCGTCGGGGCGCCCGGACCTACCTTGCAGCACCTGCCTCTGACTCATGGCGCCCTCGCCACCAACTCGGCGGCGCCCGGCTCGTCCGCGCCCGGCCTGAGAGTCCGCGGAGGGGGCGACCGTGGCGACCGCTCGGACTCCGACGGGAGCCAGGTCTCTCTGTGTACCCGCGTCTCCCGGGCAACCGACCGGAACCGGAACGCAGCCCTCTCGCGGCAACGGCGGTCCCGGGCGTGACGTCAGGGCGCGGTGCTCGGGCGCCCCGTGCGCGGTCACAGTCCACCGGGGAGCTCAGCCTGTGCTGTTTCCCCGACGTGCGGAGCTCGCCCGGCGGCCGCGGGAGCAGTGCGCCGTCGAGGGTCACACCCTATAGGCACAGGAGTCCGCCAGGAGGTCAGGGAGTTTCACAGACCGAACCCGGAGGGAGCCCCACGCGCCCAGGAACCCGGTCCAAGTGCGGCGAGACAAGCAAACTTTTACGATGGAGTCGCCTGGGCTTCGACGGTCGAGAAAAATCTCATATAGGACACTGTGTAATCTGATAAATACATTACTGTCAGTACAACCTTAAAGTCAAATGTTTTCCCCTTTAGTCCAGCTTTTATATACCCGGCATTTCAGGTTTCAGGATTCCTGGAGGGTCAAGACAGCTATGTTCATACATTTAATTATACTGTATTGAAAGCATTTAATAAGCACTCATAGAGATTCAGTGAGGAAAGCAGACGAGGAAACAATATGATAAACGTCCTGTCTTCCTTGACTTTCTCCAAATTACTACCAACTTTGCTGTTTCCTCACTTTTATGTGATTTTTAAACATGTTGTCTTTGTCTTTTAAATTTAGGCTTCATTCTGTTGCTGAAGGACATTTCCAAAAGAAACTGAGAGAATCTTTACCTGGAAAGCCTTGATTGAGATTATCTTAACCAGACTTCCCTTGCTGACATAACTTTAATTCTTTACCCAGTTTCTTTTGACAAAAGTTAGGTAGTCTATCACTGGTTTCTAGTGTGTCTGAAAACTGTATACCAAATGTTTCAGTGACAGGTTTCAACTTTAAATGTTCCTCCATCAGAAACTACAATTTCGCCAGATGTCAAGTGAGCGGATAGTCACAGCTGCTGCTGAGTAGTGCCAAGACAGGAAACCTCTTGATATCTCTTCTTTAATAGAAGGGAGCATGCAAACTTAGCTGGGGTGAGTCCTATATAATAATCTTTCAAATCTCACCCTGACTTGAGCTCTCTGATAAAGTCCTGGTATTTTGTGAAGCCCCAAATAGTTGTGGAATGGACTAGCAATCAGAGAGAGAAATAGGTATGTTCAGCCGGGTCCCTACCACCCCCAGAACAGGTGCATGTCTTTTGCTCCGGAGTTCAGAAGCCAATGATACCCAAAATCCCTTTACTTAACTCTGAGGCATAAAGTTTAACAGGGATCTCCACATTTCCCTAAAGAAACAGGTCCTTTAGAATTAAAGTTTTTGTGTGTACTAATTTAGAGATTGGGGGGCAGGGGGAGGGACAAGTTGAACAAATAATTAAAATGGCAAATACACCTTCACTGTAATTTTATTTTCAGTTCCTTGTTGCATTGTGAAAAAAGAAATCCCCTTAAAACTAAAAGGTTCCATATTTGGTTTCAGTCCTTTAACAATTCAAACTCCGAAGTGACTACAGCTGCCATTTTTAGTAATTCTTTTTACTATGTATTTTCTACTTGAAACGTGTTGAGATAAGAGCTTAATAGTGAAAAAAAGGCTAAACCTATAAACGTAACAGTCTACTTACGGAACCCTACAAAGTTTGAAAACTTAAGTTCAAGTGGTATATAAATTATTTTTAACTATAGATTCTGAGTATTTGTCATTAACAGTGCCTGTGGGTTAAACTGTATTGTTCCTGATGAAACACAATATAGAATTCCTACTTTATATCTGAAACTGGACATACTAAAGAAGCTAGATCTTTGCTCTTTATTCTAGCTTTCTTTTTTAAAATCCTTAAAATTAAATGGAGAACTGTAACAGATTAATTGTAAAACTTAAATGAACTGTTAGTAATTCAAATATAAGATATGGCAAAACTGAAAGATTACTTTTACTGACAAAGCCAATCTATATTTTCTGACTCACTTTTCAACTTACTAACTATAAAATAAAATACCATTCTGTTTTACAAAGCTAGTTGAATGCCCCAAGATGACATACACACCTCTAACAGTTAAGCAGTGAGAAAGAAAACTATTCAAAGGGATATTTCAATTAAAAAAAAAAAAGGAAGAAAAGGTGCTATTTAAGATTACTCTTCTTAAAGTACCAGCTGACTTTAATACAGATATACAGTGTACTTGACACATTAAACTATACATTTGATTGAGAATGAAACTCATTATCTGAATAACTTGCAAAAATGTTTCCAAGAAAGATTTGTGTGGAAGACTTTGTCCCCTTTTGTATAAAGCTAATCACATGTAATTTCAAAATCATTTCTGCATTTATCTTTTTATGAAAATGAGACTCAAAAAAGACAACATTATAAAGCCAGTTTAAAAATCCTGTTCTGTTTCTCTTTAAAAATCTGCTCTGGGAATTCAGAAAAACCCATTATCATGGGAATATATTCTGCATGTGCCTAAAAGAAATTTTACTAATTTTAACAGACATGTTTTCTTTTCCTTCAGCTTCTAGAAGAATTTTAAAAGTTAAAGCTTTATATGTTCTAAGTAGATATTAATATCCACATTTTAAAAACTGCTGTTGAATGAATCAAGTGTATATATATTCCTCTCCCAAGCCAAAAACATTAAATATCAGTGTGTGCCAGACACTACTACTAACAGAATGTGCTTGTCTTCTAGGACATGAAACCTAGTGGGAGATCGACATCTAAAGAAAGTTTAATTCATTAAATAAGCATATACTGCAGCCTGCCCTGTTTTAAGGGCCATTATTGCACTCAGCACTGTTAAGTGCCTTGGGAACAAAGAAGAAGGACTTAGGATAACCTAGGGGAAGAAGTGAGAATATCTAAAACATCACTTAACTAATAAAAGGTGTCTTGTTTTTAAGAAAAATTAGCTGACTTTTGCCTAGATATGAAATCTCCTTCCCTCCTCCCCCAAAGAATTAAAACATAATGGTAGTATTTAAATATGCATTCATTTGGCAACTGCATGCAATTATGCAAGTCATAAGAATACAATAATCATTTTGCCAACATCAAATCTAAAATTAATAATATTTACATACTTGAATGAAAAATAAAGGTATTACATAACCAAGTTAGTGGACTCAAAATATTACCTATAATGATGAAAGCAAACATATGACATCTTAAATGTTGCTCTGCTCCTCTTTTGAGTAAAAGCCTCAGGAGTTTACATTTGGGTTTTAGCAGACCAACCGGTTGTGCCATCAAGTTTGTCAGCAGAGCAGAAAAGACTCTTCCATCCAGAAAGAGAAGATTAACATTTCTATGCTGATGTTGTGTTTGTGTCTTGTTTCCTATTCTTTGCTTTTCAAGCCTTTTAAAGTCAACTCCTTATATTTCAGACTTTAAAGTGTTTACGTTTCTTTGTGTTAAGGCCAATAAAATGTTTAAATGACAGTGATTTTGCTGGCCCCAAAGTTCTAAAGATACGCCTGTACATGGCTTCCTTTTCCAGGAATTCAGTGGATGCATAGATTGAACTCATCCTTTCCACTTCCAAAGTAAACCGTGATTAGGGGGATTCCACACACGAATAAGTTCACCTCCAAAGCCACCATTATAGCACAAAGTGATTGATACTAAAAATTGATGATTCTAATGCCTGAAATACAGCATAACATTTTCGAAGGCAGTGGGACATGCATAAAGACCAATTTATTGCTGCTTGGTGTGCGTGTGTGTTATGTGAATATCTTCTTTTTAAAGACTTATGTGAGTATTCCTTTAAGGCTGTACCCGAACCCCGCACCACCAGATACCCTCTAGGCACCCTGCCATAGAAGTCTGTCAGCCACTCCTTCTCAGCGCTCCCCAGGCCCCCCACCCCTTTAAAATCTTGGCCTTGGACTTCTCTGAGACAAGGTCGGTGCTATTCCTTTCCCACGTTTTTATTAGTACTGGACGCAAGAGACAAAAGATGGAAGGTGCCACATAGGGAAAAAAACCCGGAGCCCACCAAGCGCGCATCTAGGCCAAGACCCAGGAGGACGCGGCTCACGCATCCCCCATGTGCGGGTCCTGCCAGGGCTGCGCGGCGACCCCGCCCGCCGCAAGCGGAAGGTTCTGGGCCGACGCTGCGAAGCTAGATGTAGGCGGGTCTCCGCGCGCGCAATGGGCACGGGGTCCCCGGCTCGACGGCGCTAGCCTTAAGGCAGGCAACTGCGTTCAATGTGGACGGGGTGTCGGAGCCGCAGGAAAAAGGAAGAACACGATGCTCCTCCGATGTCCTCGGCTTTTCCTTTAGGCCGGAGTTTCTCAGACTCCAGCGGGCACCCCCGCGCACTCCGCGCAGTTCTCAGCGGGGAGGGGGCGCGGGAATCTGTTGGGGTTGGGGTCAGGCCATCGTTCGAATCAGAAAGCCGCTAAGCCCCCGCCGTGGGTCGCTGGGCTGGGCCGAAAAGGGGCCGCGGGGGCGGCAGCGCCGGGAGCGCCAGCGCCGGGAGCGCCGGCTGGAGGAAGAGGCGGGGGCGCGCGGCCCGAGGGGTAGAGTGCGGAAGCGTGGCGCAGGCTACGCGCGGGCGGCCCCCCTCCAGCGGGGCCTCCGGGGGCCGGCCGCGGGCCTGCGGGTGTGAGCGAGGGGGGAGGTCCCAGCTTCGGCTTGCTCGTAGCCCTGCGGGCCGCCGGCCTGGGGATCAGAAGGGAAGGGGCCGCAGATGCCGCAAGCCGACGTCTGCTGGGGGCGGGTTGCAAGATGAAGAAGGCCTCTGTCCTTTCGCTTTGCTTCCCCCGGCCAGGCCTCCAGCAAGCACCGCACCGCCGCGCGGGCTCTCGCGGACGGCTCCCGGCCCGATCCTCCCCGCGGCGCGGCTGACCCGTGGGCCCGGGAATGGTGTGGCCAACTCGCAGGGGCGAGCCCGGAGCGGGCGGAAGCTGGAACCCCGGGAGCAAAGGCCCCGCAGCGTTGCGCAGCCAGAAAAGCTCGCGGCGGCCGCTCCGTTCGGCCCTGCTTCCCCTGACTTGCTCCTCCAGGGACTTAAAAAAAGAGAGCCCCG